ACTCACTTTAAACACAGCTATTTAACTTAGAGTAAGCTTTGATTTCTCTGCATAACCAAGCTGCAAATTATGCTTCCATATGCTTGAGCCACCAAATCCAACCATTTTGTTTGCCTCGGTGTAAGGAAAAACCAAATTTTATCTGTAGAATCTTTACCCAAGGAACCAGGAGAAGGCACAGGATGTAACTCAGCTGTGAGGTTGTGGGATCATACCCTCCTCACAGCCTGAAATACGGCTCTGGAGTTTCACCAGACAGGAAGGGGGCTCTTACCAGGGCCGGGACCTGCCACCAGGGATAACCCAGCAGGAGCTCGCCCCACCCACGCACCTTCTCGTGCCACTGGAGCAGCACAGCACTGCTGTTGTCAGAGGGGCTCTCAAAGCCCTTGTAGATGTACTTCATGAGCAGGTCCACACTGTTCTTGTCCAGTGACTGCACCGCCTTCTCGATATCGTTGGCTTTGAAGGAGATGAGGACCTTCAGCACAATGCTCTCAGCACGATCCTGTCAACAGGCAGGCACAGACACATCCATTCTCGTGTAAGATGCATCCAAATACTGCTCCTCTCTCAAAAAAGTGAATGAGAATGTTTTCCTCTTTAACAGTTCTGAACAGGACAGTGTGTGATGCTAACATGTAACAGACAAGGATAAACAGTGTAAAGAGTTTGCCCTGCTCTAGTTTTTTGGTCTCTCTGCTCATGTTTGCAATTCTTGGCTATAGTAATAAATAATGCAATTATTTTAGACAATTGTATCTAAATATTTTAATTAAATAATACTTAATGTTCATATCAAAGCTCAAGGTCTAGCAAGCTCCAAAAGAATTATGACAATTAAGTGCTTGTCTGACCTCCCTTTCCACCAGAGCCTTTTCCATGCCTCTGTACTCTTCAATGTGACACAACTATTATATTCCATGGAAATGCCATGGCCAGCCTGGAAGAGGTGACTGCTGGAAGCCACGTGTTTTCCAAACAGTCAGCTGCTGTCCCAGGCACACTGGCTGCAGACTGGCAGCATTAATATTGTGCATTAATAAGCATTTGCAAGTTGATCTGCATGTCATTTCGTGGAGGCCCAGGAATGTGTGTGGCATGCTCATGGTGGCACTTAGCCATGTAATCAGCAAAGAACAGCTCTTCTTCTCTTCCTGTTCATCCATCACTAACTGAGGATAAAAAAAAGGTCTTGGGTTTACTGGACTTCACACAAACACTTCAAGCAGCTTCCCCCTACATAAACTGCGGATGTCAGTGTTCTTGCCCAATTTAATATCCCATAACCACTTGGCTTAGCAAGACTTCTCACAGGAAGAACTGCAAGTAAAAATACAGAAGTTCTAAAGACCAACTAAAAATGAAAGCAGACATTAATATTAATTCACTCTGCCCTCTTCAATTCCACTACCAAGCGTGTTCTTAAATCCATCAATACAGGGCTAATGGAAACAAGTCACTAATGTCAGGGCCATCTGTAACAGCTGGTTCTCAGAGCCTCATGAAATCCCTCAGGAATCATGGCTGGGGCTAAAGGGAAAAAACTCTGCCACATGAGCAGCACGGAGGTGTGCCTGTGGACAGGGAGAACTGACTGCAGGCACTCACTACCTGGGCAGTGCCACATCTTATCAGCTCGTTCCTCCCACCACCCAATCATGAGCCATTCAGGGGTTATTCTGGGGACACTCAGAAATGCACACACCCACTCTCTGTCACAGGGGGAGGGCTGGCCTTTTCCGAGGTTTTAACAGCTTCACTCTGATTGGATGTGATAAGCACCAATTCTTCCTTTTTTGTAGGCTCACTGCTAATGGTTTCATTTGTCAGAGGTGACAACTGCGACTCTGGTTCTCAGATCACTCAGCACCAACTACATCCTTGTGCTGCCACGTCCGGGTCACACACAGGCACCCGGTGACACCTGGGCATATAAAACACAACCAACACAGGTAGGAGAACACACCACACCTCATCCAGCACCAAGCTGAAGTTACCGTGACAGATGACACTTGAACTACAGTACTTCCAACAAGATTAAAACACTAGTGGTCATGGATGTTTCGATATCAGGGAATACCCTAAAACCTGCTTCCTCAAAGTACACCTGGCAGGACAGGGGCAACAGAGACAGGAAAGGATTTTTAGGGAGTAACCCATGAGTGAGTTAGTTACTATTTCACCTTCACTGCCTGGTTCTTTGTGTTGATGGGAGGGTTCTTCAGAGCCGCCTGCAGGGCAGCCATCATGTTCCCTGTGCCAGATGGTTAAGGACCAGACACCAAATGCACGGAAATCAAGCACCAAGTACTAGGACAGCCATACTCTGCATGACTGAAAACACTCCAAGCTCAGTGGATGCAATGATTCCCTCACCAGCTAGCACAGATTACAGCCTAAGGCAGCAATTTTTAGGCCACTTAAGACAGGAGGAGCACCAACAAGCAGCTGTACAGCTCCAGGACTGGAGAATAGCTCCTAGGCCCTTCAGTGAATGAGGATCCAAGTAAAAGAAATCATTCTCCATCGCTTCTGCAATTTGCAGCCCTGGAGAACAGGCCTCAGCCGGGCACACCCACCTCCGGCAGCCGCTGGGACAGCAACCGAGCCCCGCCGGGACAGCAGCCCAGCGAACCCAGCGCGGGCGGGTGGGGAGCGCTGCTCCAGGGGCGGCCAGCCGGGCACGGGGGGAGCGGGCACAGGGAGCGACCCCCGTCGTCCCTCCAGCCGTGAGACCTCCCCGTGACAGCGCAGCCCCGGGCACCGCCGCGGGGGTGAAGCGGGGCTGCCTCCCTCCTCCCCCTGCAGCCCCCTCCCCGTCCTCCGCCAGACCCTTCCCCCGCCAGCCTCTTTCCCTGCCCACTACAAGCCCCTTTCCCTTCAGCCCTTTCTCCTTTCAGCCTCTGCGGCTTCTCCCCGCCCGCCCCTTCCCCTCTGGCCCCGCTCGGTCCCTTCCCTCCCTCCCCGCTCGCCCATGTTCCCACACAAGGCCGCCCGGCCGCGCCCGCTCCCCCCGCCCGCCGCTCCCGCCAGGATATTGCCGCAGGCACGAGTCCACCTCGCCCTCGTCGGGCCCCGCTTGCCCGTCGCCCCCGTCCTCCTCATCCACGAACTTGTTCTCGTCGTACTCGTCCACATCCACCCGGCGGAACCGCGCCGAGGACACCGTGTGCTTCGCCATCGCCGCGCCCGCCCCGCGCAGCCGCCGCCCCGCCCCGGCCTCGCGCACACACGGGCTGCGCGCCGGCGCAGCGGGACAGCGGGGCAGGGCTGTGGGACAGCGGGGAAGGGCTGTGGGACAGCGGGGCAGGGCTGTGGGACAGCGGGGACAGCGGGGACAGCGGGGACAGCGGGGACAGCGGGGCAGGGCTGTGGGACAGCGGGGCAGGGCTGTGGGACGGCGGGGACAGCGGGGCAGGGCTGTGGGACAGCGGGGACAGCGGGGACAGCGGGGCGGGGCAGGGGGTGGACGCGGGGCGGGCTGTGGGACAGCAGGGCTGCGCGGGGACAGCGGGGCAGGGCTGTGGGACAGCGGGGACTCGGGGAGCGGGGCAGGGACACACGAGCGGGGACAGCGGTGGACAGCGGGGACAGGGCAGCGGGACGGGCGGGGCAGGGCTGTGGGACAGCGGGGCAGGGCTGTGGGACAGCGGGGACAGCGGGGCAGGGCTGTGGGACAGCGGGGACGGCGGGGACAGCGCAGCGGGGCAGGGCTGTGGGACAGCGGGGACAGCGGGGACAGCGGGGCACAGCACTGGGACACAGCGGGGACAGCGGGGCAGGGCTCCGGGACAGCGGGCACGGCCCGGGACACAGCGGGGACAGCGGGTACGGCCCCGGGGACAGCGGGGACAGCGGGGTGCGGCACTGGGACACAGCGGGGACACCGCGGGGACAGCGGGGGGATGGCACCGGGACAGTGCCGGGATACCGCGGGGACGGGAGGGACCGGCCCCCGTGTCGTAGAATCACACAGTGGTTTGGGTTGGAAGGGACCTTAAAGCTCATCCCGTCCCACCCCCTGCCCCGGGCAGGGACACCTTCCACTAGCCCAGGTTGCTCCAAGCCCCGTCCAGCCTGGCCTTGGACACTTCCAGCTTCTCTGGGCAACCTGTGCCAGGGCCTCCCACCCTCACAGGGGAGAATTTCTTCCTAATATCTAATCTAAACCTACTCTCTTTCAGTTTGAACTCATTCCCCCTTGTTCCGTCATTCAGGCCCTTGTAAACAGTCTCTCTCCATCTTTCCCATAAGTTCACTTCAGGCCCTGCAAGGCCACAGTCAGGTCACCCCAAAGCTTCTCTCTTCCAGGCTGAACAATCCCAGTTCTCTCAGCCTTTCCTCCCAGCAGAGCTGCTCCATCCCTCTGCTCATCTTGGTGCCTCCCCTGGACTCTCTCCAGCAGCTCCATGTCCTTGCTGTGCTGTTCCCCAGGGCTGGAGCAGCCCTGCAGGGGGGTCTCAGCTGAGTGGGACAGAGGGCAGAATCCCCCCTGCCCTGCTGCCCACGCTGGGGGATCAGCCCAGGGCATGGGGGGGATTCTGGGTCCCTGCACCCGTGGCTGGGTCATGTCCAGCCTCTCCCCCACCAGCACACTCAGGGCCTTCTCCCCAGGGCTGCTCTGCATCTGTTCATCCCCAGCCTGGATTGATTCCAGGAGTTGCCACAACCCAGGTGCAGCACCAGCAATTGTTCCTGTTAAACTGCATGAGATTCCCATGCTCCCACTTCCCAAGCCTGCCTGGGTCCCTCTGTCCACCACCCCTTGCCCCATTCTCTAAGACCTTTAGTATGTTAACAAAGATACTGAATCACAAAGACAAAACGCTGCTCTAAAGTGTAGAATTATTTTTTTAAAGTTACACTTGGACTGTGCAGGTAATTGTTACCCTATTCATCATCATGGCTGGGCTTCGTGAACGAAGATTTGGGAAGGCTCTGACCACGTTTGTTACAGGCACGTTGGTGACTTATGAGGCCAATACGAGATAGACATATCTGATTGCAAAAGGCACGGTAGAAAGACTCTTTAGATGGTATATATGTTACCCTATTATTAATTAGGAAATTACACAGCTTTGTGAGAATCCTCTTAATGGAAGGCAGCAGCCCTAGAAATAAATATATACACACACATATATATGCATAATAAATATATACACACACATATATATGCATATATAACCCCCCCTATTATTAAAGGAACAGCTTGTGGGAAAATTTATTCCTGCATCAGCTCTACCTGCAGGACCACCTTGTTGATGGAGGAGGAATTTAGGATGTGTCATGTGTTCCACCAAAGCTGCCTCAGCTGGGAAGCTGCAATCCAGCTGTAAATGAAGTTGTAGCTTGGGGACTGTAACTGACATTTTTCTGGTAGAAATTGGCTTAAAGGCAATAAATTAGTTGCAGGAGGTAATTAAAATATCGCAGAATCAGAGAGTTTGGGTTGAAAGGACCTTAAAGGTCATCTAGTTCCAACCCCCTGCTGTGGGCAGGGAACATGGAGGTTTGGGGTTTACTACTCTGGATTTATGTTTGAAAGGTAGAGGATTAAAACAAAAGTACGTTCACAATCAGTTATTTGAGACCCACAATTATACTGTGGGTAAGAGGGGACTTTTGTGGTGCTTTTTGCCATCTGTGATCTAAGTTTCACACCCAAAAGTGGAGGGATGTGTGTCATCCTCAGAAGAGGTGCATGCCACCGGAAAACATGTCAGAATGAGGAGTTCCACTGAGTCATTCCTTTGGCATTTTTAAATGCCTTACAATATTTATGGGTCTGAGGTATAGCTGTTTCCTCTGAGAGGGCAGAAACACACTTGGGAAAAGCACATGGCTTGGAGACATTGGAGGGAGCAGAGTGCCTTTCATGGCTGGGAAAGGCTGTCGGGAGGCCGGGCTGGGAGAGGGAAAGGCCTTTAAATTCTGCTGCACAGCCAGGTTCCCCTCCATTCCCTGGGGAAAGGCTTCCCTAAAATACGTTTTCGCTCCTGTTAAGTTACTTTGATGTGGGTTTTGTCGACCTGCTGAGGCTCCCGATGGCAGCACTCGGTGAGGAGGGGTCGCCCCTGTGATGCCACACACGAAGTGGCGAAGCAGGTACTGCTGTGCCCCCTCTGGCAGCCTCTGCAGGGTCACCCGAGGCCAGAGGCTGCGGAGGCTCCGCAGAGCCCGGGCATTCCCCCCGGCACGGGGAGAACCGCTCCCGGTGTGACGGAGCTGGGAGAAATAGATGCAGAGCGTGACGTGTGGGTGTCTCAGCAGGAAGCTGTACATTTTCCTTAAGCAGCAGTGCTGAGCCTCGTCACAGGGGGAGAGGTTCGAGTAGAGGATGATGCACCCGATGCTTTCACAGGCGGCTGTGGCTGCGTCCAGGTACCCGCCCGCCTCGAACAGCACAGCCTCGGGGTGCTTGGCTCGGGCAGTGCAGTTCGTGGCGTGGCCTTTCTGCAGGACTCTGCCTGAGAAGCTCCTCAGTTCGTAGAAGAGAAGGTGCCTGTTTTGGGGAGTCGCTGTGGGCCTGTGTGGGGAGCCAAAGAGCCCGTGAAATTCTGTGTATGGCACTCTGGCTTCTTCCCCCGTCCGGATGTGGAAGGGACACCTGGCACAGGCATGGCACTGTCTCTGCCACCAGCAGGGCTTTACCACAGTGCCCTGGTTTGTCAGAAACTCTTGGAAAATGGTTTTCTCTCCTGCATTCATGTTCTGCTGAAAAATCTCCCTGTTTATGTCAGCTACACAGCTGACAGTCCTGAGTGAAAAAGGAAAGTAATATTTTAATTCAACCCTTCGATTTGTTTTGTACTTAAAACTACAAAAATAATAGGGCACAATCTCTTCAAAAAGCTAGTGAGACTTGTAGCAGCATATGGAAACTTGCTTGGTGAGACACAGAACAAAACTCTCACAGCCAGGGAGCATTCTCAGTTTTCACAAACCAGCATTTTTACTAGAAACATGAGCAAAAAACATTTCTCTGGCTTCAGCCCTCTGACCCTAGACAGGAGAATCTGTGTAATAGAAACAACCACACTTTTCAGGATTGAATACAGGTTATTCTGTGATTCAATCTGGCAAAAGAAACATGCAAACATGAGAAAAAAAAAATTAAAAAATGGTATAATTACCATCTCAGCAGCTCCAGCTCAGGATAATAGGAAATATTGATCTGATTCCCTTCAGTGGAATTTTAGGTTTTCACTTTAGGGCTCTTGCAAGCTTTCTCTGCAAATTCCATGGTGCATAAGAAGGAGGTTCCTCTTGCCTGGCTCCTTGCTCTGGGCAGTTCGGCTGCAGAAGGATCTCTCCCAGAGCAGGAACTTGGCCCCAGTTGTTCCAAGGCAGGTAGGTTCCTTTAGGTGTTTCCAGGTGCCAGGTGCTGGGAGACAGGAACACAAACAGGATTTGCTCTTGCAGGGCCAGGCACCAGTGGGAGTTGAGATGCTGTTCTGTGCCTATTAATACTTTTTCCATCTCTGGAGTTTTAGTAACTCACTTGGTTCTTTGTTGCTGTTTGATACGAGGTTTTATAGCTGAAATCTGGGTGTTCTGACGAACGTCCTACTGAGTTTCTTTCCAAATGATTTCTCTGTGTATCTGCCTGCTGTGCCAGCTGGGCAGAAAGCTCCTGTTGTAATTCTGCAACAGGTTGTCCCTCCTTTAGGAAGCTTGTAACCCCCCCCAAGGCTGTAATTCCCTGGGCTCAATCACGTTCTGCATGGGTGGGGTGCCAGATGAGGGAAAACACAAGTTTTGTGTGGATGAACAGCTTTTGGCTCAAGCAGAAAATTATTTATTTGTCTTCACTGCTGCTCTCATTGAGCCCCTTGTCATCCCTGGATCTGGTTTAACTCTGTTGCTGCTTCTCTGAGTACGTACAACTTTTCCATCTGCATGTTTTATCCCAGCTTACTTCTGCATTCCACCTCGATTTGCCCTCTGTCACTGCTTCATTTTCTTCTTAAATTCCTGACTTGATTAATTAGCTTTGTTTTCCACTCCTGACTCTACACTAACTTCCATGTATTTTCCTGTGCTGGAGTTCCTTCCTGATCCAGGTCATTGTGCTGTTCTCGTTCAGATTATCCCTGAAGATTGGCTTCCTGACATCAGGAATGTTCCATTTGTCATTTCTGATGTTTCTGTACGTTTTTGATGTTCAGTTGTGCTCTATTCTGGGCAGTGCAGCGTCACCCTGGCAGCGCTGGGCCTCAGGAAAGGGAGAATGCCTTTGCTCCCTGACACAGAGGAGAGCAGATCTGGAGAAGAGATTTCTTCTTTGGAGTGGGATGTCAGGAGAGGCATCACCACTTGCAGGTTGCAAATACAAAGGCAGTTGAAAAAGCTGCAAATCTGGGGTGAAGTTCCGATTCCCTCTGCTGGTGTTTCTGCACAGCTGGGATGGCCACATGATGGCAATGTCGCACCTCGGCGATGTGCCCCGTTCCCTGCTGGAAGGGGCCGATGGCTTGAGCTCTGTTTCAGTGTTGCTAAAGGTTTTCCACCAGAGGCACCGGAAATTTTCTCTCTCCCCCTAAAACCTGCCTTTTTTTGTTTGTTCGTTTGGTGTTTTGCCCTGATCTAAACCTATCATATTTTCAGTCTCCTCAATTAATAGTCACATCCTTAGGGGATGGGAGTCAAATCCCAAGCTACCCAGTTGGATGGATTAATTGGAAGAGTGTTCCAAGTGTGTTTCTGTGTGTACAGCATCAGCCTTTGGCCCCTTTGCCAGTGTTGTCCCTCCCCAGGAGCCACCATCCTGATACAGATGATGGCAGATGGATCACTGGAAACTCAAAACGTGGGTTAACAACTTCACATCTCCTGTACAATTATGTTTAAAATTATAATTATATCCCTGCCTATCCCAACTATACTTGGAGGGGACCCGGACATAATTATAACTTTAGGGAATTTTTTCACTTATTACTAAAATGCAGCCCTCTCTGGGGCAGAGGGCAGGAGGTGTTGATTAGTGCCCCACAACAAGGTACAAACGTTCACAGGAGGAACTGGAGGGGAATGCTTTATCCAGTGAAAACCACAGGGAAAACTTACATGGTCAGTCCATAATGACTCAGGTTGGAAGGGAGCCAGGATCCAAGCCAGGTGTTCTGCTCCTAGGGAAAAAAAACCCATAATGATCAGGGCTGGGATTTTTTTAAAAAAATCCAAATATTAGCTAAAACCTGGTATCTCTCCAGACTAAAAAGCACACAGAAATTCTGATCCGTCCCAACGTGTCCAGTCTGGACCTGATTTTACTGATTTCAACGTAGGATATTGGGATTTCTGAAGACGTCTTTTGGAAATGAAGTTGTGTGCATTGATTAGGCAAAAGCTGATGCATGATTATATGGAATCAGGATGATTCTATTCCCCAAGCTAAACCATGATCTGGTTCCACAGCCTGGTCCAAGTGTCCTCTGTGTGTGTGAGGGGCTCTGGCACTTCCCTCGATAACGCTGCACTTAGGACAAGGACGGGTCCTTTGTTTTGCCTCTGAAATGTGTTGAAATTCTGTTGCGTTTCTTAGTACAGCCTGGTGCAAAATAATCTCTATTGGAAGCATTTTACAGATGACTTCATTCAGTAAGGAGTTTATCTGAGTTCAAAGTCCAGAGCAGTCACATGGTCCCTTAACAGCCAGAGACTCGATGTTCCTGCGCAGCCCCAAGATTTTAAAAATAAGGAATAAAGGACGCGAAGGAAGAAGCAGCATCTGTCCACAGCTCCTCATAACCACAGCCAGACAACTTAAACCCAAGCTGCTGTGGCATAACCTGCCTCCACACTCCACAGTCTCCAGCTCATTGGACAGAGTGGGATATCTTGTGCCGCAGGAACTCTGGCTCCCGGCTCCGGAGTGGAGCCCTGGTGCTCTGCATTCTGCCACCAGGCCATAAAGATTAGCCAGGATTTAGGGCCTGAGTTGGGAACGTTTCCTGCTCAGGCTCCTGTTAAAGTCAGACCTTCACAAAACCGTTCCACCAAACTTTCCTTACCTGGCTTGTCCAGTCTCAAAGTGATTGGAATTATCACGTTGCTTCCTGAGATTTTTCCAGAGCTCCATTATCTTTTTGTTTCCCTTTAAGCCTAAAAATAAGTATTTTTCCCTTTTCTGTCTATTAAAGATAGAATTGAAAACGACAGAGCAGCAAACAGTCTGTAAGGGGAATGACAAACAAGGACATTTAAATGCCACAGGTAGGGTAACCAGGTTAAATTTTAGGACAGCAAAAATCTTAGGGAAAAATTAGAGAAATAACCCAGCATTTTGATTATTTAAAAAAAAAATTCCCATTCTACTGAGTGTGGTCACACTAGAGATGCTAGGTGGAGAATTTCTTCCATATTAATTATAAAGTGTTGTGAGGATGCTTTGTTTGTCAAACAATTGGACAGATTTCCTCTTGTCCTAAGAAAGAGCCAAGGACCTTGCCAAGAGCCTGTGTTTGTAGACAGAAAATATAAAAGACCAAAATGAAAGTTTAGAGATGGAAAGAGACTTTATATATATATATTGCATATAACATTGTATGTTTTACACATATACATATCAAATAAATTATATATATATAAAAAATATTCTGCTTTGTCTTCTTCCCATTTAAAGTGAAGATGATTCTTGGGAGTCAAAGCAACATATTTAATTCTTAGAAAATATCAGCTCAGGAAATAATTTAAGATTCAGGGTCAAATGATTCATGAGCACACAGATTTGCTTCCATGAAGATCAGCGGAGCTTGGATGGTTTCCAGAATCACAGGGCCAGGGAAAATTTTACCAGTTACTGGCATAAGTGTTATGAGACGGGCAGAAATGTTCCTTTTAATTTTGGTATGAACTATGAGCCACATACAATGTTCAGTCCAAGTGTGAGCTCGTTTCTCCTTGTCTCTTTTCAAGGCCTTCTTTAGGGATGAATGGAGTTGTGCTGGCAGAAAACCCGTTGGAGTTGTGACTCCACTCTGTTCACAGGGTAAAACAGGCAAATCCTAATTAGTAGTGCAGTAATTACACCTATCATCCCCTCCTTCCAAAGTAGCTGCCTGGTGATTGCAATCAAACTGACAAATGCTGGCTTGTATGTCAAGGAAAAAGAGGAGGCAGAATTTGGTGTTCTTTGGGAACAGATGCCAGGGATGCTTTAACTGTGGGCTGTGAGCCTGGGCATCCCAAACAACTCATATTTCTCCATTTAGGTGCCCTGTGTTCTTTTACCATGCAGGGATGAGCATTGGCTAAATAACACAATTTAAGATTTGCTGCTCTGAACCCAATTATCAGCCTTGCCTGACTTCCCTGGAGATTTAACTCTTGAGTCTCTTCCAGAACTCAGCTATGACCTCAGATGCTTTGTATTTTGGGATTTAAATGTAAGGAAGTTAGCAAGTAGTATACGGATTTTCAAATTAAAGCCCAAGGAGCAGTCTGAGCATAGCAGGACTTCTTGGCTGTAATCCTTGGATTAAGCATTGGCTTTCCTTGCACTTGTAAATAGACATTGTGTTTCTCAGGAAAAAAAGTAATGTCCATCAAAATAATCTTGAATCCTGGGGAGATACAGTGATAGCTGCATTGTTAGAATTGCATGTGGAAAGAGATTTACAGTAAATTTCTTGGTGTTCAGATTAAACTGGACAATATCCTTATGTGTCGATGGCAGCTGCTAGGATTGCAGCCACAGAACTATCCAACCCCATCTGGCAACTCTTCCCTCCCCACAACAAGGGTGACATAACTACAGGGCTTAAAAATGTTAAATACTTAAATAAAAGTAGAAATAAAAACTTAGTAATGTTTGCACTGCTGCTGGACACAGAAGCTTTTCCACGGCTTTGGTGGCGTTCAGATCAGGTTGTTAATGAGTCCTGTGTTGTTGTGAGAGAGCTGGAAATAACATCTCCCCAGATCTTACCAAATCTTATCAAAGGCATCGTGCACTTCTTTGCCAGTTTGCCCTTTTGGTTTCAGCCCCTCTTTCTTTTTATAAGGATTTGTTCCTAGGCTGCCAGGCCTGAATGGAGAATGGGAAGTCACTCCAGCTGTTTTCCTCGTGTTGGCACTCTGTGCTGAACAGGAATTGCTGAGCAAAGAACATAATTTCCCCAGAGATGTTTGCTGGGGTAGCACAGTCTGGATTTTTTTTTTTTTTTAATTAGAAGTTCCTGCCAAATACTATCATCAAGGGTTGGGGGAGGAGGGGAGGCAGGGAGGGAAAGAAATACATAAAGTCTGAAATCCACTTGGAAGAGCAAGAAACCCGCCTGGGAAAGCAAGAGCAGTGTTTTTCTCTACAGAACTCTTGCTTTTTAACATATAACAGTTTATACAGAAAAGAGGACTAGGACTTTTTTTTTCCTTTCCCTCTTCCATGAATCTTGGTTCTGACTGTTGCTTCTCCAACAAAGTTGGAGGGATTGTGCAACTTTGCACTTGGTTTTGGACTAGCCAGTGGAACAAAAAATAAGCAGAATTCCTTCTCTTAAGAGGGTGCCAAATTACCAAGTGCCATCATTCCACATTGTGGTGATAAATGCACGGCTGGTCATGGCTTGCAGTGAGCCTAAATTCTCTATTTTTTCCTTAAAAAAAGATATAAGGCTGTGGCTTCCTTGCTTTCATTTTGCTTTACAAAAGAAAGGTTAAAGAAACAAGCTGTAAAGAATAATTAAGATGTATTTGGGGGAAGAGGAAGATAAAGAGCCATTTGACTTCTTGCTTGCAGGTTTAATTCAGGATAAATGTGTAGTGACAGAAATATACTGGGACCTGATGCTATCTGATGCTGGGACCTGATGCTGAATGTGGAATGCATTGGGTGCTTTATTCCAGTCCTCAGTGCACTGGTGACCACTTTATTTGTACTTCTGTATTATTTTGCATTATTTGACACTGTCTGGTGTTCTTGCTGGCAGCATTACTCAACTTATTGCCTTGCAGTCTGAATAGGCCTACCTAGTAAGGTGATTTCAGGTAAGAACTGATTTGTGGATGAAAGATGGAATGTTTTAGCTCCTTGTTTTGAGGATGCTGCTAAATCCCTGTAATGCAGAAGGCAGCTGTGGCCATACCAAGAGTGACCAACTGCCTGTATAGTCCTGACAGTTCAGCTGTGGACAAGTATGAATAACTTTTTACAGGAAATTTTCCTCCATGGATCCTCTCAGTGTTCAGCTTATAACCCCAAGTGAAAGAATTTAATATTCCTTTGACTTTCTGGGGTGTGCTTTAGTACAACTGCATAATTATTAATTATCTGCTCTAGGTTTTGATTTCCAATGCAGCTCATCTCCCCGAGCACAGTAACATATGGCACAATTAACATGCTGTTTATAATACGCCCTTGAAAAGAGGATCTTCCATCCTGGTTGTTGGTGTGTTTCCAGCTGTTCTCCAGAGAACAAAACAGTTGCTTCTGCACCAACTTTTTTTACAACTTTGTGTAACGTTGTTCAACTTTGGCCAGTTTTGAAGTTCTTGGTTTTTACTGAGGAAATCTTCAGGTGAAAATGTGGAAACATGTCTTTAGTAATGTCATCCTGATACAGTGGATGGGGTTTGAGTTTGCCGTGTCCGTTGCCAATAGTCTAGGTGACAGATGTGAATTTTTTCTAAAATTTTCCACTCTGTTACTACCAATACAGGAGGATTTCCCCTTCACAGGCTTTGGTTTACGTTTTTTATTTTGCTTTTTGGGTTTTGTGTAATTCCTCTGTGAAGATCATCTGGAGGAGAACTGGGGGAACTGTCAAAACACAGGTTGTTTCCTGGCATTGTCTAGAGCATTGCGGGTTTTCCACCTCCTTCCTGTCTTTTGTTTCTGGGTTGATAATGTTGTCTTTAAATAACCTCAAATAAAAATATTTAAGCCCGTAGCCTCGGCATCTCAGGTGCAGATTTATGGGCAGCCCAGGGCATTCCAGGGGCAGCAAGACCTTTTCTGTCCCGGCACCTTTTTTCTGGGAGGAATCTTCATTCATATTCAATTTTGGGGGGCAGAATAGAAATTTCAGCACTAGGCTTAAGATTCCTCCCAGACAAAAGATACAGAAGGGGCCAGCACAGAAAGGTCTTGCTGTCCATGGAGTGCCCTGGGCTGCCCATAAATCTGTACCTGAGAGCCTGAGAATATGGCATTTCTTTCCTGGGGAAAAGGGCTGTCTTTTGCTTTCAGGAGCCCAGCGTGGAAACTTTGGGATTCTGTCTCTCAAAAGTGAATAAAAATTAAAAAAAATAAAATAAAAATAAAATAAAAATAAAAATAATAATAAAAAAATAAAATAAAATCAAAACAAAGTAAAATAAAACAGAAGCATTCTGTGGGGCAGAACACAGCAGTCATTCCTCTCCAGGGCAGGGAGGGAATGTTTTGAGGGCCCACATGCAGCTGCTCCAGATTACTGGAGTTAACAAGGAAAAACAGTCATTTCCTGACCCACCTATTATCATTTGGGTCTTGGAAGGCACCTGGGAGCCTCCTTTAGTGGCTCCTGGGTGGAGCCGTGGCTATTAAAGGGGTAGGTGGGGACACCCTGGGCATTTGCTTCTGGCAACAGCCACCGATTTCCTGAGGGGAGTCCTGGAAACAGAGCCGAGCAACAGAACTGCCTGGTCAGTGTCCTGATGTCTCTGATCTAACGCTGTGCTGCCCCCAAGTCACCTCGCTCTGACTGAAACTGTCTCTGAATGTGCTGGAAGCACAACTTGGAGAGGAGCAGAAAAGGCATCTGGGGAGCTTCATCTTCCCAGGGGACGACGCTTTAGGGATATCCACTTTCTGAACTGCACAGATAGTTCAGGTTCCCACAGAAACCTGCTGGGCCGTGGCCCTGGGGCGGGAGTGTCAGGAAAGTGGCATTTTCAGTGCAACCATAGTTATTTTCCTTGGAGCTCTCAAGACTGGAAGACAATAGTGTCCACGGGCCCCTCGCAAACCATGGGGCAGGATAAACGGTGTAATTATGTGTCTTTTCCTGCTCTCTGCACTCTCTTCCTTACCTGTCCACTCCCGATCGCCTCCCTTTCCATGCGAAGGGTTCATTCTCTCCGCTAGAGAAGAGCTCCAGTGCTCCCGCTCTCCGCTCCCTGCCCGTTCCCGTTCCCCGGGGAGCGAGCGCCGGCCCTGCCCCGCACCCCTGTCCCGGCTCCTGCGCATCCAGAGGCGCTGCAGGCGGCGGCTCGGGAAGGGAGCCCCCGGTCCCACCGCGGCAGTTGCACATTCCTTCCTCCCTGCCAGAGGGGCCCCGCTGCTCCCCGGGCCGGCACAGAGCCGGGCGCGTCCTGGGACATCGGGGCAGGGCTAAGGCTCGCTGGAGCTGTGGGCAGCAGTGCACCTCAGCACCGCCTGGAGTCCGAGGCTGGGAATTAAAAATCGGCAATTCTGCTTGCTGGAGCCTCTCCCAACTCTGCATTTCTTCTCTCCAGAGCACAGCTGGACTCTGTGAGCCCTGGAGACCTCGGGGAGTCCCCCGCTCTGTACAGCCCGGTGGCCCCTGCTCCAGTCTTTCCATCGACTGGGGGTCACCCAGGTGGTCTTTACCAGCATAAAATGTAAATTACATCACAGCCCAAGGCATTAGGGTTGGACTTGATGATCTCGGAGGTCTTTTCCAACCCTGCTGATTCTATGATTCATTCACACTAGGACTGGACACTCCTGGCTGAGGTGAGCAGTCCATGGAAGTCAGACCAGTGACAGTCCGGGGGGTGTTTTAAGTTGGATACTTGCAGATTTTTATTGTCCAGAAACTCCATTCTTTTCAGTATCTCTTGCACAAATGTTTCCCTGTAGTAAGAGATCGATTTTTCATTAGTGCAAAAGCGTGGTGCCTGCCTGTGTCCGGGGGGGGGAAAGCCTCACTGCTTTGGTGTCGCGGTGGTCGCTGTCATCATCGTTGTCGTCGTCCACGTCATCAGCAGCGGCGGCAACATGAACATCGTTATCATCATCATTTACGTTTACCTCAAGGAAGAAAAAAGAGATCAGAGCCAGAGAAAAATAGTTATCACCATGGTCACCACGTGGTGACGAGTGGGGAAGAAAGAGAAAGCACTATGCTGCTCCGACTGAGAAAGTCTCAGTGCTGCATTTTGACTGATTTGGAGGATGGGGATATGGGCTTTGGAAACCTCAGTCTGCAATAGGTGGAAGACAAGAGTCATGATATCATAAGGGAAAATGTTAGAGCTTACTTATGCTGGTAAAAGCATTTCACCTCCCCTACCAAAATAGGTCCCTTCCAGAACATGTTTAGCACTCCTTTTATTGATCCAGAGTGGATGTAACAATGCCCTGGGTTACGAGTGGCTGGTGCTGCATCTGAGGAACATGACTGAGCATCTTCCTTATCTGTGTCGTGATCATCTTATTAAACTGTGTTTCACAAGAGAGAGAGAGAAACGTAATGGACGTTAAAAGTAAATGTACTGCTGTCTGCATTTCAAAACTGCCTTTGCCTTGTTTTTAAACAGTTATGGATTTTCTTCTCCAAGGGTGGATCTTGCTGGAGAGTTTTTAGATAATGAAAGAGCAACTCCCCTGAGGAAGATTCAAGGAAGCTGAAGAAGGCAAGTCGCTGGTGTACAGATTGTTGTATGTGACTACAGAATATTTTAGAGATGGAAGAGGTAAAACCAGTCAAACAGAAAAATAACTCAAACCCCCCAAGCCCCAGCCTCCCCAAACCTGGATTTCATTGCACTGCACTCAAAAGATATCCTTTCTAATTTAGAGATTCCTGTGTTCAAGGCTGTCGTAGTTAGTAAAGCCCTGAAATTTTAATTGTTTGAGGTGTATGTACAATAAAAAAAACATTACGTGGTTGCAGAGGGACCAGTATATCTGTTGCTAAAGTTAATTGTTACATCTTTGTTTACAATTCTCTTGTTCGTGGCTCCTCCCTGCAAATCTAAACAGTGCTCAAAAGAAAGCTCAAAAAAAGAGTTCTGTAGCAGGGCTATAAAATCTTTGTAGGATTTGGTGAAATCAGATAGGATGAATGTAGCATTAAAGGAAACAAGAGACCTGTAGATAAGCTGAATTGTTGCTTCTCTTCAAATATTTCCCTTTTAACCCAAGGAAGAGGAGAAAAAACCCATGATAACTCTGTTTTTACTGTTGCTTGAGTGCTGGAAAAAAGGTAGGGTTAGCAGAAAGCTTCCAGGAATTTTTTTTAGAACTGTCTGAGAAGTCTGTTTGTGGTGTGCAACCATCTTCAGCCTCCAGAAGATCTCTCTTATATGACTGACATTCAGTAGGCTTTCTTAAAACAGCATCTAGGAACTTCTGAGTATCTTGAAATATGTCCCACAAGAAAGAGGGAACATAGTTTTAAAGCTTAAAATGGATCATTTATAATAAGAAATCCAAATAAGATAAATTATTATGGTAATACAAGGATTTGTGATCAATTTATACCTGTTACTTTGATCTTAGAGGTCAAGAAAATTTGAGTACTGGGATTTGTTCTAGGAACAGCATTTAAATTCAAACTCTTCATTTATTCTTTCTGGAAGCTAAGTATGCATGAAGGGAACGAGTCAAACTCAAGACATGCCATCTTATTATAACCCAAGGGGTGGGAGGGACAAAGTCCTTGGGCTTTGAACTAGTTAGATATAAATACAGAGCTCACTGGCAAAGGTCTGCTCAGAGGAATGGGAGGCCCAGATAGAGTGGGGAGTACTCCCAGTATCCTAAATAATAGAGACTCCAATACAATTATTAAGCCCAGAGTCCTCTGGGGAGTGCTTGGATTAAAGGATACCAGAGTGATACAGGCTTCTGGGGAGGAGATATTTCTTTTTTTAAGAGGAAAAATGAAAAATACTCTAGTGCCAGAGTTAAGGAGATGAAAATCCTCACAGCCAAAAGAGATTTATCCTGTTTAAGCATACTGTAACAGGGCCATAAAAGTGCAGTGTATCTGTAACCAAGGCAAAATGAAACAAGGCAGAAGGGAAAAAGCAATGTTTGTAAATGGGAAGTTTTGAGAGCTCATTTAATCGAATAGTTAAATTTCTTGTTCTGGAAACCTGAAGCTTGCTGGAAAAGAACAGGAACCATGGCAAGCAATTTGGGAATGAGGGGGAGGATTGAGTACCAACTAGCCAATGATATAAGTAACAAGTCTGTCAATGTACTGAAAGTAAGAAGCTTCTTATGGAGAATCAACGTGTTCATGGAGACAAGAGAGCAATTAGGGAAAACCAGAATTTTTTGTGCTGAATCTACCCAATACATGTTTGTGGCACGATCAATTTAATTATTAAACCTTACTTAGGTGCAAAAACAGAGATCTAAATCACAGTGAAGGCAATCTTTTGAGCGACACTTGAATATGAGAGCCATTTGATTTATATGTGACATGAAGATTTTGGTATGAAGATGAAATTGGTCTGTTCCCTTATGGTGCTGTTGTTTGTGTCGCTGTTCTTGTAGGGATATAAAGCTTGCTGGATGCATTAGCCTTCTCTTTTCACTCTTTCATAACTTTTTGTTGGAGAAGGAAGTAATAATTTTTATTAGTTCTGCGTAGGCACCGAGGTTGGTTTTGATCCCATGACAATGGAATTGATGTCAGGAGAATTAGCCACAGTCACATTTGTAACTGAGCAATGCCTTTTTATACTATTACAGTATTTATTCTTTGCAGAAAGCTTTAAAATTGTTCAAATGAGGCTCTTGGCCCCCGCTCAAAGGTGAATTTTTTGGAAAGTCTGAGCGAAAACATTTCATCCATGTGTGAGTATGAGCAGAGTGGAAAACTATTTTTCCCCTCCATAAAGACTTTTTGCTGCCTTCTTTTGAACAGCTCTGCGGCATGAGTAGCTGAGGCCTGTGGGCTAAAATTTGGCATTGAAATAGCCATAACTATGAAGTGTCTTAGTTTTGGCTTTGATTTGACTGAGTTATGAGCCTTAGAAAACCGTGTTCTCAGCATGTACTCTGGGGCGTTTTTTCTTCCTTCAAAGCTGCTGAAGGGTGCAATGGAGAGGATTTGCTGTGAGCAACTGAGGAGCTCTGCAGCATGAAATTGGAGAAAGATATTGCTCTGAAACTGCAGGGCCACGTGGGGATGGAAAGAGATCAGGAGACCTCGCAAAGCACTTATGGCCTAGGAAAAGTTTCTGGGTGTTTTGTGATATGTGCAACTGAAACTCAAGTTCTACGACCTGCAGTCTCTGCTCCTACAGGTCATTTCCAAAGAGCCAAGAGAGGCTCCCCTCCTGCAGAGTGAGCAGGGATAAGGTGTGAGTAGGGATAGGGATAAGAGCAGATTCTGAGGCACACTGGCACTGCTTAAACCCCTCTTGAGTCAAAGGCTCGGGGAGTACAATACCCTGTTGTTTCTCCACATGTTGTAGCAGGTGGTGCAGTTTCCCAGCTATGTGCCTGTGCAGTGCTGTTTTGAAGGCTTTCCCAATAGGAGTCCAGGGACTCGCTGTTCCTGGAGGAGATATGCCCCTCAGATTGAGATTATGTCCCTCTGGACAGCACAGCCTGTGAAACAGTGCATGCCTATCTAATTGCAATCACATGTGAAATGAGAGGGCCAGGGAAGGCTGGATGTACTTCTTTAACTACATAATTTTTGACTTAGCATTGTTAATTATGCAGCCTTATGAATCATTAATTTAGTTTTATGTATGGGAGCTCTGGTGCATTTCCTCTGGCATTTTACAATGAATCTGGTTAATATTTGCAATTACTTGGAGGCTTCTGTTTAGTTCTGGTGTCAACAAAGATAGATTATGACGAACTTGTGTGCCTGGTTCTTTACTGAGCTGTTACTGCATTGTCACATCTTTCAACAGTGTTCAGAGTGAGTGGAGAGTAGTGTTTTCCCTTTTGCACAGGAGCAAGGATTGCAAAGGTTGCAGGCAGTGGAAGCCCAGATATAGTGTATAATGTAACAGGTTTTTTTGCTCTGATTAGTTAGTGGTTTGTGATTGACATTGAATGTTTGATTACAAGAACTTTTCTTACCGGCTGAGACGTAAGGATACTGCACCTCAGTCATTTAAAGAATATAAATATCCACGTTATTTTATCTCCAGATGAGGCAGATGGAGGACCTGGCTCACCTCTGTTACCCTCTACAGCAGCATGTGCAAAGACCGCCCGTGCGGATGAAAATGCCTGCAGGAGGTATGTGCCATAAAGGACCTTCAGCGCAGGTG